AAGCTTTTTTGACTAATTCGCTATTTGAACCGACCCTAGCTGTTTATGCAGGATATATATTATGCTCGTTTTTCCTCAATTTGGGAAGGTCAGTTATTCACACTCGCATTGAATAAAAACGAGCTTATTTATTTACATATTTTCGTTTTTGTTGCAAAACAAACGGCTCTCTGTCGGTTTTAGTCCCGGTCTATAAATTTATTTTATATGAGCAAGAGAAAAAGTAAATAGCTAAGCACAAAATAAATTTAATAAATAAGATTCTGATAGTTCGATTTTTTTTTTAAATCTTTTAATTTAATGATCACAATTTTCTTCATAACAGTCCCTAAAAATTGACCATATTAAAAAATTTATCTTTATTTTATGTTGCTCGCTTAATTAATTTGGAACCTAAGAAAACTTCCTTACCAACTAAAAAGAAATATTTAATAGTGTACAATTGTTGTTTGTTGTAGGTGCCTACTAATCTTATTTGGTTTCATCAAATTACCGGAAATTTGCTCCTCATTTATAATAATTTATATTTCGTCTGAAAAAGATTATTCCCATTTTGGCCTCGGATCCCTGCTGATGTTGCTGATTTTAGGAGTACAAATAGATTTTGAATTTAATTAAATTTTTATATGTCTCTGTAAAATTAATAAATGAAGATGGCCAATATTAAGCTTTTAAAATCAGCATGGAGGAATTCCAGAGGGAACTGTTTGTCATCACTGGCTTCCTCTCATTAATTCCTTCCCGGAAATCTCTCCCGAATCAAATGTCAAACAGATATTTCCTTCCCCGCGAGCAGTTCGGACAAACAACCTGCGCAGGGGCTTAATTAAAAATGAGACGCTTTGTTTAATGGCGCTGATTAAAATTCCTCTTGGTCAGCGGCGCATGAAGACAAAGAGGCGCAAAAAGCAGCGACGAGGGGCTTGATTAAGTAAGGCCTGGCCAAGAAAAAAAAAAAAAGAGAATTCTTGATAATGTGTCGGAGCACCCCAATTTATCCATTATGTGTTGCGAGGAGCACGGCAGCAAAAAATAAAAGAAAGGAAAACGGGGCGGAGGAGAAATTGCGTCGTTAAATTTATAGAAGAGGCCAAATAATAAATTCGACCACACCACAAATATAATATAAACTTCCTGTGGGACGGTCGGACACACACACGCGCCTCTATTCGGAAAATATGAAAAAATTTCGGTGCGAGAGAATTAAAATTTATGGCGCGCGGGAGAAACTGAAGATATCCGGGGCCGTATAATCTTGCAGCGCAGCGCTCTATTTATTGGTTTTTGCGCAACTATAACTGACATCGCCGGGTGAAATATTGCCTTGGCGGGGCAGTTGTTTTGAAGAGAGGCCCCCGTTGGCCATATAACAAGCCCCGATCGAAATGTATAAATGACAAAAAGCCAACTATACGGGTGGGAAAAATATGGCCAACTTTTGGAATTCACAGCGCGCCCGCAAAAAGGCAGTCAATGCAATAAAAATGGTAGTCGAGGTCGGCTCAGATCGAGTTCCAAACAAACGCCTAACTGCACAGCATCTGGCTCCCGCGATGCAATCACACTTCTGCCTGTGTTTCCTCCCTCATGCATTAGAGAGATCGATCAAAAGCGAAATGGGATAAAAATGACGGAAATTCACAGCTTAAAGCGAATTTTTACATATCTTTTGTATTGTTACTTACAAACACACATTGAATGTTCAAGTCAATCCAGAATTAATTTTTAAATTAAGTTGTAAAACGGAGACATATATTATTATGATTAGTTTCTAACTGATTAAATTAATTAGCTGATTATCATTATTATTATTTTTTCTTTTTATATATTGTAAATTTATCCTGGTTTTTGGAGTGTCCTATTTTATAATTTATATGTTTATTTATTTAATTCAACAAAAGGTCTTAACTGGTCTTAACACGGCCGCAATATCACTTTTGATCATTCACAAATGAATTTTATAGCAAAGTGATACAACTAAAAATTCGAACGGAAGTAGCTTAAATATTTATAACATAAAATTTTTTCACTCGTCAATTTTATATAATAAAATAAATAAAAATTAAAAATTAATAACTACAATTAAAATAAATTTAATTAAAAAATGTGCCAGAACCCAACTTTGCACCAAGAAAATTACAAACAGAATTAAAAAAAAAAGTGAAATAATAGTTTGCATCTGGTTTTCGCGTGTTTCGGAAGGTCTGGAATAGCACGGCGGTGGCCAGAAAAATACGTTGTCGTGGAGCGGAAACTACTTTTGCGAAGGCAGAGACACCTTTGAAAAATGGAGCCGGGCGGAAAGTGGCATCTTTAATAGCGCGGAAAACGAAGAAAGCTGCAGCCGAGGCGGAATGAATGCTGCAACGGCATAAACAGCCTGCGAGGTGGATTGCGATCGACGACGATCCTTCGAGACACAATCTCGGGCCATTCGTCACAAAACACGCTCGCTCATTCGGCGTGACATCTCCACTAAATCGAGTGATGCAGAGAACGCCCAAGCAAGGCACTTTTGCGGAGCAGCAAAAGCGAGCTGCTTTTAAAGGAACGATACACACACACGCTGTTAAAATTTTGTAAATATGTATCTTTGAAATCTTCAAAAAGCAATTTAAAAAATTAAGAATTTTATTGCAAATAAAATTTCCAACACGTTTCCCGACGAAAACATGATTGGGGAAATAAGTGTATTTTAATTCATAAATATTGTATTCTTTTGTTAAATAGATATCCCTATGTCCTTATGTAAAAATGAACTGTAAAAATCTAAATTTAAAAATAAAAATATTGCATTTGCTTCATAGTTATATAAAGTAAATTATTGTTAAGGAGCAAAAAAAAATTTTTTTTATATGTATTTATTTTTACGTTAACACCAATAATATAATTGAAGTGTATAATAAAAACCATAAATATATTTTATTTAGAAAATAATCCAGTAAATTGAGCTGCACGCTTTCAAAGCCGAAGCATTCAAGTTCAAAGGCTGATCCGCTCTTACCGGTTTAGGAGAAAAAGCTTTCAGTTCTTAATAAATTTGCTCGGGTGCATGACTCACTCACGGGCTGTGTGTGCTGCTGATCATTAGGAGCGAGATTTTCAGCACAATAGCAGGGGATGAAAAATATTGCCGACAGACACCTACTCGGCGGCGCAACGGAGATATTGCTGCCGGTTGAAGAAAGGTCTCGAGAGATTATGGCGCTGCGCAACAACAGGAAAAAAAACAGAAAATCCTCGCTCGGCCTATTGTTGCCGCTCCTGTTGCACATCATTAATCAGCAGCATGCTGTACGTCTAGAGAGTACTGCTGTGTGCGAGAGGAAATCTCTCGGCTGCTTTCGCAACAGATAACAAGCTGCGAAATCATAAATCACCAGGCCCAGCAGCTCTTTCTGCGCGACCAGCGCGCGATATTATTCCCGCGAAAAGGCGCCGCCGTCGGTCGTGATTAATTGCGCATGCCGCCTTCCTAATTAACTGTCCACGCCTGCTATGTCCTCCCTCTCGTCTCTGTCCCTCATATTTGTGTCCCCGTTTGGCTACTTTTTGTTAGCGTTAAGAGAAAAAAAATATTATCAGTAAATTATTATGATGCAGTTCAACAAATAAAACGTCCTAATAATGATAAATATTCAAGCAAAAAATTCCAGTTAATTGCATTTTTATCACAATCATCAAAATGGATTTTAAAATGCAAATTTTGTAAGCAAAATAGTAAAAAAATAGCTTATAGTATGAATAGCAAATTGAAGCTGCAATTATGTCTATTTAATGACTGTTAATTACATTACAAAATTTAACTTGATTCCCCTCCCCTCCCTAAAACTGTGCAATTCTAAATTAAATTTGTCAAATTCTATGAAATATTACTAAAACAAATAAGCTCTTCAGCTTTACATTTTTTCATTTTAAATTAATTTAATTTTCAGGAAATATGGTTGCAGACCAATGCAAAAACTGGTTGTGCTGCTTATTATTTTTATTTATAAAACATTTTCTATGAGTTTCTATGGTTAAAAAGACAAGAATCTGACCAATTGAGAACTTATGGAAAAACATGAAATTTTTATAATGTTTTTAATTTTTTTTTTAATTTTTTTCATTATATTTCAATTCATTCTTTTGAATGGAGAATAAGAACATAAATATGAAATAATAAAATAAATATTTTCGTGAGTAAATTAAAATAGATTTTCTGCAAATATCTTATTTGAATTCAAATCAATAATTTTTATTGAATTAAAGCACTTTATTGACTGACTTAGCGGAAATCCTGTGCAATTTTGAACTCGGCGAGAGGACATGGAAGGAATGTGCGAAGCAAACAATTGCAATTTGGAGCGTTTGCGATTCATCAAAGGAGACGTGGAGCGAGTGGGTGCGCACAACAGCACACGCGGCGGTGAATGCGCCGGCGGCACTTTGAAATACGACAATTAAATTAGGCCGTCGGGATGCGAGAAAGAGAGGCATCTGTTGAAATATACACGCTATACACCCTTGGCGCACGTGTTTGTATGCAAAAAGCAGGTGAGGAGCAGAAGCAGGCCCAATTACCACGGTGTAATGCCACATAATCTCGCACTCTGTGCCGCAGGCGGAATTCGCGCAATTAAAAACAATAGGCGATGTAATGAAGACTCGAGCGAGAGAAATATGGAAATGGGTGCAACACACACGGCCGACGGCGTTCTGCCGCGACGCAACACACACGTGAGGGTTGTAAATAAATTTGCATACATCTGAGAGCGAGCGAGCGAGCGAGCGAATGACCGAAATTTTTATGTAAACAGCCACGGGTCGTAATTTGCATAATTGGGAAATACGAAGAGCACCTCTGTGGAAATAATAATTGGAAATTTGTGCCTTTTTTCTGCAGCTTAATAAAAATTGGGGTTTTTTCCATTGAAATTAAGTAATCAACCTCCAACGTCGGATTAATTAATTATTTTGTTGATTTTGTTTTCAAATAAAAAATATTTTTTTGATTTTAGATGATTTCAACTCTGATTTTTGAATTGTGAAGGAAGGAATTACCTGGATATGTGATCAGCTCGGTGAGTACAGCTAAGCCAATTTCCACGAGTGCGTGCGATTTTATTTAATCAAAAACAATTTGCAACGAGTGGCGTAAAATAACACGCGCGCTCGGATAAAGAGAGAATTTTCTCTCCCTCGCTTTTGCAGTCCGATGGCGAGGTCCGACTCAATCGTGCGCCCGCTCAATCCAATAAGTGCGTGTGCAGATGAAAAGAGGATAAAGAGCGCACTCGTCGCGTTCATTCGGTTAATTGAACCGAAATTATTCAAACCCCAGTCGCCCTTTTGTTTCCCCAACAACGCGCACCACACTCTCATTTTTCTCTTTTTTGCCGTTTTTGTGTGAGGAATATTTGCCAGTGAACTGCTTTTTGTTCAGACTGGCTTCATTTCCAAACAAGGAAAAAGTTTTTAAATAGACACAGTCGATGTCAACAAAGCAGAAAATTTTAATTCCATTGACAAATGTGGAAATTTATGTGTGTACAAATGAGTTGTCATTATCTGATACATCAACTAGAGAAAACAGTAAATTATGATGCCTAATTATTATTTTACAAAAATATTATTTAAACGTTCTTACAACTGATGGTAAAATTAAATTATAAACATTATGTGTAGGCTTGACAGGTATCAATCCGAGCCTGATTAGTAGAGCACTTGACTCTCTAAACAAATATACAAAATGTAACTTTTCAACGTATTTAATGCTTTAAAAAATTCATATATATAAATAATTGAAGATATTAAGTATTTATTAATTTTTTCTTTTGCTGATTTCGCCAAAGTGCTCTGAAAATGCTGATGCTCGCTAGTTGTTGAATTCAAAATTGAAAAAATCCGTTTTCACTCCAGCCACCAGCACGAGAACAAAGGCGCGCGCGTTATTTATTTTGCACGCGGAAGCTCCGTAGGCAGCTATATCGAATTGATTATTATTCAAAGCCACAGCTTTATGTTGCAAAAAGCGAGTGGGAGAGCATCCTCTCTGGAATGGATTCGGCGGGAGAGCATTACATTATTTCCCATCTACACAAGTCGATGCAAAAGCATACCCGAGCGCATTCATGTTTCATCCGTTCACTTTTCCATTGGGAGCTAAAACACGCACGCACTCTTTCCAATGCAAAAAACTCTTTTTTTTTTGCAATTTAAGATTTTTTTATAAAAGCGAAGGGGAGGATTTAATTTGGAAAAGCATGACCGCTTTTTTTAATTTATACAATAATAAAAAATCCAATCATACATTTGGTAAGTGCTTTGGTGGAGGTGGCAAGTAATATGATTTTCTCCTCCTCGAAAAAAAATATATATTTCCCCAATTTGGTGCGAGGGAAAGGCGTTCCTATGAGAGTAGTCAGCCGCCGTTCCTTATTAATAGAAACGTGTGTTCGGAGCAGCCCGCACAACCAGCATGCCACGCGGGACCTTTGATTTAGTCGACACTTCAATTATAGCCTGCGTGCTCGGAAAGAAGGATTAATTCTGGCAGACACCTTTGCATGTTTCTGCAATGCCGCAGGGACTCCCTGACTGACTGAGACGTGCCTTGATTTACCAAATTAGCGTTTTCCGACGGTGCACAAAAAATTTGAAATTTGCGGCCGAAAGCGTGTAATTCAAACAGCATTAGGTTTATAAATCCAAAGGGAGGAGAAATAAAGCGGAACAAAACACTCGTCTCCTTATTTTAATTAAAATCTGTATTCGCACTGCAGCCTCTCTCTCTCTCTCTCTTTCGACAAGACTTAAATGGAAAGCGCGCTGAGTTTGCAAAGAGCGAGTGTGTTTGAGGTGGAATAATCAAGCTTTGCTCGGCGCATAAATACCAACGTACCTTCAACACGGTGATGGAGTTTCAATGTAATGAAATATTTAATTCGCCCCTTTGGCTCGATTCACAGCTGCCAGGCCAACCTTTAAAGCAGAACCTACTCACCGACTAGTGTGCGGCTCCATTCGCTGAGCTGCTCAAGCGGCACACAATGGTGATGCTGATACTCAAGTACGGTTTAAATTTCAAACATACCTAGATCCTCAAATGCAAGCTTCTAAAAAGGTTTGGAGCTTGAAAATAATTTGCCAGAATATTGTTAACGATATACATTAAGTGTGTTAAAAATCACGTTTAAATGATTTATCTTATTAAATGTATATTTCCTTATTTACATTTATTTTTACTTATTAATTAATATTTGAATATATTAAAATGTTATGTCTAGAACATAGCATCTTTTTTAAAAGAATATACAAATATTTGCAATACTTGAACACATAATATAAATTCACTCCATTAATCAACATTATTAGGAAAGAATTAAATTTGTATAGTTAATTTTGAATGATTAAATTTATAATAATGTTAATTTTTGCTAACCAGTAAATCAAAATCATTTTCATCATTCTTTCTTCAAGTTATGTATCGCGCTGAATACAGAAAAATAATGTGTTTTTATAAACTGCAAATAAAGATTTGAGGTTTATTTTTATTTATTTTCATAAAAAAACTGATTTACATATTATGTATTACGTCTGTTAAACTTTTTTAGGATCCACTTTTTTTCTCAGCATATATGTTACTAATATGGAAGCATGTAGGTATCAACCCACTGTAAATTTAACAAAGCTCCTTTCCTTTCGGTAAAAAACTAATCAAAAAGACCATCGTCTTCTTTGAGACGCAAAAAATCAATTTCGTCGACTGGCGACGACTTGCAGGAGAAAAAAGGGTTTCGCCAGCAGGGGCAACAAAAAGTTTGTGTCCGTCCGTCGGGGTCCATTCAAATCAGATTCAAATGAAGACACAAAGGGCAGCTGGGCGACAGCTTTTCTCGTGCAAAAAAGGCGGTCTGGCAAAAAGTGGTAGAAGATATTTGGCCGAAATTGACGTGCGACCATCCATCGGCGGTTCCCTCCCAGGCCGCCACTTAGATTCGTCTATTTGGGACGCCCGAGGGCGCGCCCTACGCCGTGTATCTTCGGCAGGTAACATGGCAAGTGCATTAGTGGCACCCTCTCGCTTGCCTTTGGCCGAGTTGGGCCGAAACACCCTCTCGATTTTGATGCCGGTCTTTTGGCTAATTGACCAGCGCAGCACAATGAAGACGCTTTTAGTGGAAGAGAGATGAGAAATGAGAACGACCATTTCTGAACTCAATTAGAAATTCAAGTTGTATTCTGTCTTAATTAAGGCAATTGTAGTCTCTGTCTATTCATTGCAATCCAATTTTGCTATTATTAATTAGTTGAAATGTTCACACAAAGAAACTTTGACCCATACAGGGAACATAATCCTAATAAAAACGAAAATTTAATAAAAAAAAAAGCATTATTTAAAAACTTGAATATTGATGAACATTGGAAAGCACTTCTAAATTAATTATTTTTTACATTAAAAGTTTGAAATTTTCATTCTTTTATCTCAATTAACTTGGATAAATTGGATTAAGAGGAAGTCTTAAAAATATTTTGAAGCATTACACATATTTGGATAAAGGCTGAAAATTTTAAATGTAACAATATCTTATGCTGACAGCAGAACAATAATTTCCTGGTTAATTTGTTTAATTTCACTATCCCAAGAACCCTACAATCAAGAATTTATTTCTGTATTTTAATTTTTTTTTAACATATTTTTGAAGAAAATCTAGTTTTAGTCAGATTCTGGAAGGGTAAATTAGTAAATTACTTATTTCGTAGCCTGCAGTTGAAGGTGGACAGATTTTCAAGGTGAAGGCAGCTTTTGTTAGCACAACACCTGCCTGTCAAAGGCAGCACGTGTGTGTTTGTCTCGTTTCACCTGCGTGCGCGTAATTAAATCTCTTGACGGCGCATTTCGAGCAAAATCGTACGAGAAACTCGTGAGAATCCGCACAAAGCACCGAGCTCGCGAGTTTGTTCCTTGCTTGGCTCCTCTCGTTTCCCGGCCGCGTGCGCTGCTTTTGAATAATAAGGTCTCTCTTTCTAGGGCTGTGCCGCCGCCAGCACACAAGAGCATTGCCTTTGAGTGGTTGCTCAAGCGCGCTACTTGTGAATGAATGAGAGCCAGCCAGGCCAGGAGGATGCAACATCGCGCCACGTCAGCAGCCAGAAGAAGAATGATGATGAGCGAAGCCGAGTCCTCCTGACAAGATGAGGCGGCTTTGCGGGTGACCGACTAGGCTCAAATTGAAACTGCGCGACCTGCATTGCGGCTTTGCAAACCAAAAGTAAAAAATATCTGCACAGATTTACTACCGTGGAAGCTTCTTTTTCTAATTGTTAGAGTAAAAGATTAAAAAGGGCTTTTAATTGGTGCAGAAGAAGTAAAATTAACTTTATAGAAGTGGGAAAATTATATTTAGTTTCTTAAAATACATTTCCACTGCATAATAGTAAAGAAAATGGGTAAGTAGAAAATTCAAAATTTACCACAAAATCGTTAAAATATATAAGTATAAATTCAATTAATGAAGAAATCAAATGCAATGTAGACTATGTAATATAAAAATAGACAAATTTAATTGCAACTTAAATAATTAACCGGTTGATAATAAATTTACTATTAATCATTCTCTAATAAATTATTTAATTAATTATACCTGCATAAAGACAATATTAATTACCCAACGTTTTTTTTCAAATGAAATAAATATCATAAAAACTATTAAAGATTGTAATATTTTCCTAAATATAATTAAATTAAATTCGAAACCGAAGAGCAGCGTCAAGTTTTCTGCTTAAAAATAATTCATTCACTTGCGTGCTCGTCATTAGCTCCTCCGTTGGGAATTTGCAGTCGAGAGAGGGACCGCAACTTTTGAGGCCGTGCATGCAGTACATCGGTAATTGAGCCCCTCCAGCCAAAGAGAGTTCTCCCTACTCTCTCACCAGCCCCCCGCCAGCCAAGTTTTATGATAAAACTTTGCACCAAACACTCATCAAGCGTCGGCTCAAACTTTCCAGTTTTTCAGCCTTTGATTGGGGGATTTAATTGATAAAGAAGGACTCTCGCGCGCAGAGTATTAATGGCCAGATTT